TATATTTTAATTATTTTTTACCTTCACTCAGTTTTGTTTTTATTTTTTGTTTTTAGTTTATTATTATTGTTTTGGTATTATTCTTTATTCAATATTCCTTTCATTTCTCATAGGCTTTTAGTTAAACTATTTTTCGCAGCTGTTCATTAATTTCATTCTAAATCCAGTTTTTTTGTTTGTAATCCGATGCCAGTTAGTCAGTGTCTAAGCAAATATTTACCGGGAAATGCAAAGCAATACAAATGCGTAGAATATACATAGATTAACAACAAACACACATACAATACATACATATGTATGTATGTAGATGTACAAAATCTCTAGCAATGAGTAAGAATGACTAAAATCTAATGGACAAAATGATTTGAAAAGCTGATTAACTCTTGCTGCTTGGTGGTAAAGGGCATACACACACAAACACACACACAGGCGCACATAGATATATGTATGTATATTTATATATACATTTATATGTATAAGTACAACTAACTTTATCATGGCGGCCATAACTTGAAGACAGCTGAACTTTTGGGGCATTAATAATATTCAGTAAAATCGAAAACATGTATATTCATGTTTTTGTTTCTTTTTGCCGACTTGCGTGGCATGACTCACTCGACGGGCAGCAGCTGGTGGCAAGTAGCAAGCATTCGAGGGCGATGTTTTGTTTTGGGGCCAAAGCTAACTGAACGAACACACACACATACAAACAATCCCACACACATACACACTGACACAGGTATATAGAGTACCTACCTAGTTTTATGTTTGCTAACTGAAGTTGGGCGACTAGGTAGAGGAGTGTACATGTACATATGTACATACATATATGTATATGTATACCCATGCATATATATTGCCATATCAAGTCAAATGGCAATGCAAATTCAAAATACAAGAAAAAAATCAACATTCCCGGCAAAATGCTAGTGGGTGGCACTTGTCACTCACACACAAACACACACACACACACAGGTCAGGTTGCCAGCGTGCGTGGAAAATCAATTGAGCGCCTGCAATTTTGGACACTAAGTGGCAATTGTGGTAACAGTTTTTTTTTTTAAAGAGATTTGCCAACAAAAATGAAAAAATTGCACAAGGCACGCGCAAAAATTTGGAGCGCTAATTAGTTATAATACATAAGCAGACCAGCAAATGTACATACATATACATATGAATATAAATGTTACTCTCTTTCACTGATACTACATACATAAGTGTTTATATGTGTGCGTGCCCGTGTCTGTGTGTAATTGTGGCGGTAAGGAAAGGCTAATGGACTGCGCTAATGTTAGACAATGTTCGGCATGACGTCACCGCCACAGAACCGCAACGGCACGCAGAAATATGTGTATATAACAATAAAAAAGTATGCACGTGTGTGTGTGTGTGTGTGTGTGGCTTAATTGAATTGCTTATTAAAAATTGTTTAATTACCGCTATGGATATGCAATTCTCCTCCGCATTGTTTGGAAACCGAACAACAAACTTTGAGCCGGCGCGCTCCTCGCTGTCATTCAGTGGCCGAAAACGACAAACGACTTTAATGCTGTCCTCAGCGGGTATTTCACGTTCCGCAGACATTTCAATGCAATTCCGTCACCCACACACTTGATAGCTGTTCTTCTTGTAGTGGCAGCTAAAATATTTGCCCTTTTTCCAGCCAAGTTAATTCAACTTGGTGTAGATGCGTCGCAATTTTAGTAGTACGTCAACTTTGACGTTCAGTGTTATTAATCGATGTAATTAATAATATGAACATTCAAAGCTAATGTTAAGCACTGAAACTACGACGACAATGACGAAGTCACAGGGACTGATTGTGACTTCGATGTACCGTCACACCGTTCTCCGTTTTATTTTCTTTTTTCGCTAGCTGCTTGTTCTTGCTTGTTCTCGCAGCGAAATTGGGGCTCGAAATGCAGAGAAAATTTTTTTGTGGTTATACCAGACAGCAGTCACAATCTCACACAATCAATCGGATGCAAATGTTGTTGTTATTACTGCTGTTACTGTAACTGCAGCGGCCCGATTTTGATAATAAGCTCGCTTGTTTGGTGGCCCGGAATGTTTTGCAGCCCGTTAAATGCACTCTCATGCGTTGTGCTGTTAAATTTGTTACACTTAAATTGTTTTTCTTTTGCTTCAATATCACGTTGAATAAAAAACTATTTGTTGGATAGATTTTCGACAGATTGTGGCGGTCGGCTGATACGTTTTCGATAGGTGGCATATCAGTTCGATAAATATAATTACTGCATTTTTGTTCATTTTGTTACAAATATGTTCACCTTTCTGAAAATATTTATGCCTAATTTTTAATTCTGTAAATTAAAATGGATTATTACTTGTTAATGCTATTTCGTTAAGTGAATGTATGTCGCTAAATATCGATTGTCGGTCCTATGAACTTTTCCAACACTTATTTATCTCTTATTTGAATTATCTGCCAACAAGGCTTGGCAACTTTCAAAAAATTTTTATTTGTTTATTTTTTTTGACGTGTTCACTACATTTATCATTTAGCATACAAAACTACAAAATTTGAAACTGTTCAATACGTAATAGACCAGCTACCATAGCCTAAGAAGGGACTATGCTATGGTAGATTGCTTGTGAAAACGGTTGGCTAGTTGACAAAATTTTGGTTTAACATGGGGGCCACCGGTCAAAAGCGTAAGCTCAGCTTAAAGGATATATGCAAACTAATACGTCTTTATCGAGCCAATGATTGCCTATGGAATCCCAAATCGTCCAGCTTTCGGAATTTGGAGATGAAAGAGAGAGCCTGGCAACGCATTTCCCATTTATTCAATAACGGATTAAGCGCCGATGCAATTAAATTGCAAATATTATCGTTACGTTATTATTTTGCAACCGAAATGTTAGCCATCAAACGTTGCAAACTGGGAGGATATCCGCATGTGCCGAAGCAGCCTTATTTCAAAGAACTGCAGTTTCTCAAGGATGCGATAGAGCCCAGTGTTAGTGCTAAGGCTATTGAGGTATGCAATCTAATGGCCTATGCGGTGCATTTACAAAATATTCTATTTTTATTTTAGTCAGAGGTGCAGGATCAAATCAATTGCATTGTTGAGGATGCCTTTCTGTTGAGCAACAGCGAGAGCAGCATTCACAGCGAGCAAGTTGATTTTCATATCCCGTCATCAAATGAATATACCTTTGCAAATCCTGGGCTACAATCGCACGATTCAGAACCCAGGCAGTTACTTTTGCCGCCGTACGATATGGATGCAACGATACTGCTGCCAATACGTTGTGAATCCGGCTGCGATCGCTGGCAACAGGCAAGCTACTATGAGGATGAAGATGAGAACTATGTAAGACGACCAAGTGGATCAGAAAATCCAAACGAACGGAATCAAATTTATGGCTATTACAGCAGTCAAAGTGTCAACAATGAACATTGTAGTCGAAATCGTAATAGCCAATGGGCTCTAGCGTATGCACCCCAAATGAATGCCGATTATAGTAATACATTAAATACGAATATGTATGCCGAAGTCACCTATCCGAAATGCGCTTGTGCACCCAAGAAAAAAGTGCTCACGGGTCGATACAAAATCAAGTCGAAATCAACAGACGGCTATTACGATGGTGAGGGCTTTCAAAGATTTGTAGAACCCATTGCGCAGAGGTTACAATTCAGATGTACTAATGATGCCAACTATAATACTTCAAGTGATTATCATCGTGAGAGATGCTATCGCAATGTCAGCCGGCACACATCGGGTGATGAGCAGTTAACGCCATGTAATAAGTGTGTTGGTGTCAATTGTCAAATCAATTATGGAACTTATCCGCCACTGGAGGCTGATTCGGCTGGTTATGATGCCTATCCGCAGAAAGATTATGGAGCCGTTTGTGGCTATAATCGAAATAACCGACAAATGACAGACAAGGCGAATGATCCATTAGCAGACGATGAACCGGAAGCTTTTGTAGGAATATGCAATGAAAGCAATTGCCCTAAATCACAATTCTATAAGCAAGCAGCCCAAAATTTGGAAAATAATGATTATCAGAATGACAGAGTACCTGCTCAAATCAAGCATAGACCCTGTGACGACAATCCTGATTATGGCGACGAACAATACTGCAGAAATAATCCAGAAATGCAAGATCGTGAGTGTGAGCCGACTGGGAAATGTAGGATTGGTCGACAAGACTTGTCTAAAGCTACACCAGCAGATGACTCGGCACGGCAAACCTCATCTAATCGGCCAGGAAATCAGCGTTCAAAGAAAAAGTACTGTACGAATGATAAAGAGAGACTAAGGAGTCTTAATAATGAGAACGTGATACTCTGTCCGTCATCAAAGCAGCCACAAGTTGAAAATGATGAGTCTAATAGGCCGATGCAACAAACTGGAGAACCTGGCTTTGAAGCTAAACAAGCTAGAAGCCCGCGTCGTTACCGTGATGAGGAAAATACCTCAACACCAAAGCGTCAATCACTGGACACTGCACGGACTAGGGAGGACAATAATTCACTTCCACAAACAACGGCCCAAAAAAGTCGTAGGAACAGTGCTCAGCAGCAACAGACTTATTCAATGGAAACAGTACCTGAGGATGCTCAGCAAGGGAAGTTTGACACAATGTCTAATGATTCCAGAGGTGATAAACTATTACTTGAACCAAGTAATAGGCAACAATCAGAACCGGAGTACGATCGCAGCCGAGACAACAAAGGAATAAGCGGTGAAGAATACAAACTAAATCATTCTCAAAGACAACGTGAAAATATTTGTAGATGCTCGAATTATCAATCGGGAAGGAGTACTCGAAAAAATCAAAATTATACTTCATATCCAGTAAGTAATACCCAAAGGAATTACTATGAAGTAGATGCAGATTATGATCGTGTCAACGGTCGAAGCCGCCAGGAAGATTACAGAGAAATCCGAGCATATAATCCTGATACTCCTGAAAGGTTCCAGAGTGATCGTAGTAACGTCCGCAGTCGAAGCAATGATAATAATCGTCCTAGATCTCCAACAACTGATAATTATAGAAATATGCCAGAGTATGATTCTGATATGCCTGACAGATTTCAGACTGGTTCAAGGAACGACGGTAGACGAACTGATGATAAGTATCGTTCCAGACCTCTAACAAATGAGAATTATAGAGATAGGCCAGAGTATAATTTTGATACGCGTGAGAGAATGCAGACTGGTTCTAGAAATGATGGTAGACGAACCGATAGTAATAATCGTTCAAGAGCTTTAAGAAATGAGATTTATGGAGATATAACTGAGTATGATCCTAACATGCCTGAGGCCGGAGAAAGAAAGTATACCTATTGTTACAGTGGTAAATACGATCATGCTAAAGAATCAGCATATACATCTCCTATATATAATAATGACGTTATTGACGACGATGAGTATAATGCATGCGTTCGGCAATGTTTACCTAAAAAATATCAAAGCACTGACTATAATCGCAAAGCCTATAACGATGACAATGTGCCGACTGTTCAAGAAAACTTCAGGGGAAATGGTAATTCGAATCTGAAATATGAGGCCGAAGAGAATGGCTATGAAAGACAACAGGGAAATCGAATCGATGAGTATACTGCCTGTAATTCTGAATGTCCGGTTCATCAGGAGAATTCAAGGTACACTCGAACGTATCAAAATGAAGAACCGGACTATCAGAATCAACAGGCACCTCAAGATAATCTGTATGTGGCTTGCCATTCCGAATGTCCGTTTCGCCAGGAGGGGTCCAGGTACCAAGATTGTAACTCTCGAAAATATCAGAGGGGAGGAAATAACTATGATAATGATCAGAAGATTCGAGCTGAGGAGTATGCAACAAGTCCGTCTAATCAATATAAGGAAGACTATGGAAAAACATATGAGAACTTTAATAATCAAAACGACGTTAATCAGGATTGCCAATGTGAAGAAAGTCTGCTACCTGTACATAACCAGAGCACAGTGGAGCACATTACAGATGACATCAATGTGATTCGGTACATTGATTGTATACCAGAGAAATGTCCGGCTCAACAGGCAAATTTAGGAAATACTGTGGAAGAAATGCTAGATTGCGAATGTCCCACAGACGAGGAAGAACTACAGAAATCAAAAGCCGACCAAGCTGAAGTGTTTAAGACGAACATAGTTTGTCAGTGCGAGGCAGCCGTTGAGACTGATCTTGATATGTCCTTACATGATAGAAATACTCCACGAAAAGAAAGTGCATGTGAATGTCCCGAAGCAGCCGTAAATGCGACAGTGGTGTCGCAAAACGGAATTGAGGAGAAAAATTACAAATCAAATGACGGCAGTCCGCTAAATCAAAAGCCCCGCCCACCAAAGGTGATCAGAAGAAAGATTTGTTCATGCAAGCAGGCTGTTTTATTCAAAAATAAAAACCTTAAATCGACAAATGGAGGGACAAAACCTGAGACTTCTAAGCAAAGATCTAGCTCACCGGCGGGTACGAAATCTCGTCCATCTAGCAAACGTCAAAGTCGTGTGGAGGATGATAACTTAAGCAGTAAGTTTAAACATAATGAAAGTCATGTTATCTGATCGGCGGCATTACCTAGAATTCCAGGGTCACGGCGGCCAACGATGCAATCAAATTTTTGGAATACATAACGGCGGCAAGAACATTAGTCTAGGTGCCAAAGAACACGGTTATAGTATACAGGAACAGACAGTTATATCTCAACCATGCGATGGCATGTCCATGATATGCTCATTTGAAGTGCCAGCCATATTGGCGGAGAAGACAATAGATGTGCTGAGCAATCACATCGCTAGCAACGCGCCGCCAGACGTTGATGTGAAGCCTGCAGGCTCACGCAGGAGTTTGCCAGGAGAAATGCCACCGAAGAATGGCGGATCTGGTACTGAGACGTCAAACTTAGGCTGTCGGTATAGAAGTAATCCATTTTTAAAACTCAACTACGAGGTCTCCAAAGGCAATATAATTGTATGGCATCCTCCGGCCCAAGGCTTTCGAGCTTCGAAGAATTCGTTCAGCATGAAGGATTGTAAGATTGACAATAGCCAAGCTTCAAAGTTGGATAAATCAACCCCACCATTACCAACCAGATAGAAATACGATCAGCAATGCCAACCGAAAGCCCAATCTAAACATAGCTTCAGTTCCTTTACACATATCACAACCACAACCCAACCAAACATAAAATGTTATTCAACAACTAAAAAAAAAAAAAACTGCATTTGGCCTTTTGGTGTGCGCGTAAAGGGATATTATTGGAACACCCCAGTTTAAAGCACGCTTTAGGGGCGTTACGCATCAGTGCTGTAGAAGTATAACACTCTGTTACTCATCTGTTAGGGAGTTTTCGCCCAAAACTTATTGTTTTCCTATCAATGAAGTTTTTACTTCAATTCTTGTAATTAATTTATGAGTATTTGCTGAAAGCATTGAAGCGTAGAACGTCTAATTGATTTTTGTATGTAGTTAAAGGTTAGACATCGTAAAAAACTATTCGATTCTAAATTTTCAGCAATTTTTTTTGTTTTTTTTTTTTAATGCAGTTTTTGGCATATATATAATAATAATTTTCCAAATATATTTTAACCACTTATACTCGAGTACTAGAGTTACTTAGACTACAGATATATCAGCTTTGTATCATTGATCTGCGCTGCAAACTGTTTCAGCTAGCTACCCAAATAACCATTATGTCTATCCCATTAAGTGAAAGACTCAGCTGCACATCTTTGTTTTTGCCTTTTCTTTATTTAGTACAATATCATTTATGCTAATCGCTAGAAGAGAAATCACAAACCTTAAATCTTAGAGTCTAGAAATATAAGTCGAGCATCAATGTGGAGATGCCAGCTCGAAGCTGCTTTCACTGCCGCCAAAGATCGTGTAGTCCGCAGCATCCACATCCTCGCCATTGTTGTCCAACAGATCGCATAGGGCCAAGATGTACGATTGAGCCATTTGTAGTGTCTCGAATTTGGATAGCTTCTGATCGATCGAGGGCGCTGGCACCACCTCACGCAGTCGATCGAAGGCCTCGTTCAAGCCATTCATGCGCTTGCGCTCGCGTGCATTGGCCGCCTGCCTGCGGCGCTTCTGCACGGTGGGACTGAGGATCAAGCCAGTGGAATCGGATAAGCGACGTGACTCCAGCTTGCGCTTCTTCACTGGCTGCTCACTCTCCACGCTCCACGCGACGCTCGCCGGCATGGCAAGGGAATCATCATAGTTGGGGATCGACGTCAGCTGCTGTTGCTGCTGCTGTTGTTGTTGTTGTTGTTGGTGTTGTTGATGTTGCTCCAGGAACTGCCAATCGGGAGTTAGATAGCTGAGCTGGTTGAAATTCTGCGTTAGATTATAGTTGGGACTGCCGAGATACTGCGAGGAGCAGTTGTCCTCCTCCGATGAGTAGTAGCGACTCATGGTTGGCGCTTGACTGGACGACTCGAGTGCTGAGCCGCAACTGCTGCCGCTGCCGTTGCCACTGCCATTGCCACAGAGTCTCGTGTGTGGCACGAGCTGCTGAAGCCACCCTTTGGGCTAGTTGTATAAATATTTTTACCGCCGCGCTGACCAAGTTTGAGGCAAGCAAATGACCCCTTGCCCAGTCAGTCAGCCAGGCAGCAAGGATCTTCATCATTAACATATCAAGGATCATCAACAGGGGCGGATCTCTCTCTCTCTCTCTCTCTCCCTTCCTCTCTCTTTTCAGTGTTAACATTTGGGGGTTAGATGTGCGCTCACTCTCTCTCTTTCTCTCTCTCTCTCTCTCTCTCTCTGTCTATATGTCTATCTCTCTTGCACCCGCCTACTACTTTGACCTTTGCTGGTCTGCTCTCGCCTTGGCACGCGTCATAGCTTGCCAAATTGCCGCTATCATGGCATCTGATCTCTTTTTCTATAATTTGTGACTTTCACGCTCAACGGCACACACAGTGCAAGCGAGAGGGAGGATGAGCTACCGTCTGACTCGACTCGGACTCGAACTCAGCTCGTCGACTCGTCGACTCGTCGACTGGCTGTGGCACATCAATTAACTCGCTGCTGAATTTCTTTAGTGCCTCCCCGTCTACTGACCATATGTTGCAGCGCAATGCAACCGACACCATATGGCCAGCACCAAGCCGAGCTCTCGACTGGAGTGTTTAGTAAATGTCCTTTGGATTACCTTTTGAATTACCTTCTATTTATATGTGTATATTTTTTAGGTTTTTAGCTCGACACGCGACTATTTTGTTGTGCGAGTCTTATACATTTTGGCTCGAGTCCTAGGCTGTACAGCTTTATCAGATAGAAGCCTACAAATGATATGATAGCTGAAAAAAACTGGAGAAAAGTGAGTTTTAAAGTATTTATGTAGATTAATATTTATTAAATATTTAATCATTTATTATTAAATCATTAGCTATATCAGTAGGTTAGTAGGTAGTTGTATAAAAAGCACTGACTATATAATACTCGTTCATTGTGTAAAAATAATTTAAAAACTTTTACTAAGTCTTCAGCTAATTAATTGTCAAATTTAGGGGTTTAAAAAGTTAAAAAAAAAGAAACATAAAAGCATAATAAGGAAAAAAAAAATGATCTCCTTGAATAAAATTCTATAAATATATATATTATAATACCATTTAAATTATATGTATGTAAGATATCAGATGTCTGTTCCATTTACCTGGCTTCATCGGAACTTTTTCTTTGTTATTCTTCTAATTGTGTATAAATGAAAATAATCTGACCTATTTATACGGTAGTCAAAGCACTCAGAGAGCTGCTTCTATCGTTATAAATGCATCTTCATTAAATTAAAGAACAGGAAGTGGGGCCAAAAACTTTGATGAGACAAAGTGAGAGAAAGAGGTAGAGAGAGAGAGCGAGAGAGCAAAATGATGCTGCGCATGCACCTACCATTCGCTGGCCTCTCAATGCCATTCGGCAGAATGTTTTTGTAGAGAAATATGAAAATCGAGAGAGCTTCGTGGAGCAGCAGCAACAGGACCACAAGAATGTTGTCCAAGTATTTGCATGGCGAATAGTTGACAACATAAACATTGTCGATGCAGCGCTGCAAGCGTTAAAAAGCCAAACGTATATCAAAGCGGATAAAAGTGAAATTGTACCCAAAAGACTTTTTCCATCCGAGATTGCTGAGTTTGCGAGTTTGCGGTGAAAATGTGTTTGTATTTGGGCGTCGTGGAGCATTTGGTGGATGTGGTTGCCTATTGTGTCTGCCGGATGCTGGAGCTCACGCTGCTCACCTTCGTGATGATGTGCAACACGGCCAAAGCCAAGCTGAGCAGCAGCAACAACGGCAACAACAACAACCAACTCGTCCTGATGGAACAATGACCCAGGTTCACGTTTGGACTCCATGTCCACTGTACGGGCCAGTGCCGGGAAGCCGACAGACGCTGGGGCGTGGGCAACGTCTAGGGATTCTGAATGGAATATCTAACTCTACTTTATTTTGATGTACTTTTTTGGCTTAGATATATGTACAAAATATATATATGTGAATAAATTGCATGCGTGTATAAATTGAGGTGTCTGAGTGTTGCTTGACTATTGCACAGTGGCTCGAGAATCTCTCTTTGGAAGTATTATTTTGTGTGAAAGTGAAATGTGGATTTATTTTTAAAATCTGCAGAAATAATTAGTATTGAATTTTTTTTTGTTTTGCCATGAAATTATTAAATTATTCGAAGTGAACGGCAATGTTTCTCTTACGCTTGTCCTCTTTTTGCCGTTATCTAATATAAAGATCTTATAATATATTAAATATAGAGATCTTATATACATATGTCATATTGTCAAAAAGTTTTTTCTGTTCAATCCTGTTCAGGTAGGCAAGAATTATCTTTGGGTCTCATGTAGAAATAAACTCTTTGTCTATCTCTCATAGCATCGAATGAAGTATGGCAAATTGTGTAGAAATTTATCTTTCAAAGTTATGTAGCGAGAGCCAGTTGAGTTTTAGTAAATTCCCCCTTTAGATACTATATATGTATGTATATACAAAATTTTCCAATGAACCCTGAACAAGCATTAAGCAGTCAATAAAACCTATTCACAATATTTGTACTTGTTTTATTTCATATGGTAATATAGCATATAGTAGTATATACATATATGCATATTATTTTAAAATCCACATTGAAAAGTTTTGTTAATTTATGCGAAATGCATTCAATTTGTCCCATCGTCCATCGGAGCCATAACTTAGACTTGGCCTGAGGCAAGGATTTGTCTATTTACATTGTGTGTGTTTGTTGCGTGCTATTTGTTATTTGTGTTTGTGCGCGTGTATCGCAGTGTCTCAGCCATTTATTGTGCTTATTAACATTGCGGACCCAAAAGCAGCAACCCATTTGCATGATGATAAAGTATCGACTAGGGGCTTACACATGTACCAATTTATATATTTTTGTTCTGTTTTTCGGCGCCTCTAAATATGCTACATTTTATTAGCATCTCGCTCTCTCTCTCTCTCTCTTTTTCTCCCTCTCACTCCTTCTCACTCTTTCTGCCTGTTGTATTCAAATATGCTACTCTTCCTCTCTCACTCTCTTAGCACTTCAGGCTTCAATTATATTCCCAGCTCTATAGTCTCTATTACAATTGCTATCTCTCTCCCTCTCTTACGCTGTTTCTCCCCTACTGTCTCTCTCTCTGACTGACTGCTGTATATTTATGTAGTTGTTTACAGTGTTTTTGCTTCTGGCGCTGCTTACGCATAAATTTATTGAAATTGTAGCAAAGTTTATTGCACACGCACAGCACCTAATGGCCCATTATTATTATTATCRTCATGATTATCATCATTGTGGGCTAGATTCATGTGCAAGCCTTTATCTGAGCCATAGCCACGGTTTGGGCTAAACTAAACTTTATGAGTTGTTATCAAAGAGCAACAATTATATTATTATTATATTTCAAGTTATATATTCATATGGGATAGATCAATTTAAGTTCTATAATCAGAGATTTTTTAACTTTCCCCTTCGATTCACTTTCCTTATTTAACTTTATCTTATTTACCCTATGGCATGCTTGACTTGAAGATACTCTCACCCATTCTACAAATTGAAGTCACAGAGAACATAGAGCGAACTCGAAGTTTACTTTAATATTTCTGGCTCGACTGATGGATAGCTTATAAGCACTTCACAATATTAAAAGTACTTAGCAAAGTTAATCAAAGTACCAAAAATGTATAAGCTCATTCAGAGTGTTACTTGTAACAGAACCGAATCTTGATTTTAACAAAATTCATTCAAATAAATTTCAAATACCTCATAGCTGCATTTTAGTTAGGCATTTTAAATCAAAGTTGGAGCAGTGAAAGCAAACGTCGTTTTTAAATTCAACAAAATTCTAAGCAATCATGGATGCGATCGATAAGACAGAGGAGAAGCAATCTATTTCTGAAACAGGCGGTGCGACAGAGTTGGAGGACAAAGCGGAGGAGAAAGCGGAGTCGCCGACCACATCACAAACGGAGATCAAGGAGCAGCCCGTCGTGTACGACTACATGAAGTATCCCAACAAGAAGAAGGGCCGAGTTCTGCACAATCATCACCACAATCGACTCAAGATGAGGAAGAACGTCTCCTTCAAGTGTATCGTGGAGCTGGTGACCTTTACGGACGATTGGAAAATGCAGATGACCCAAAGCAATCTGCGCACTGAGGATCAGCAGGTGGGTCACATAAATCTACATATTTGTATGTATGTATATCTATTCATTTCGCTTATCCCCCGCACGCAGAGAGAAAGATCCAAAAATCTGAGACGCAACTTTTGATCATAATCGATTGATTTGAATTGCACATAATTCTTTTTAAATGTATTTTGTGAATTTTATGTATATCGAAATCGAATACAGAAATAAATTTAGTCAAGATACTTTGTCGTAGATATATATATGTATATATATATGTATGTGAATATTTGTATAATAAGAAGATAAAATGTGCACAATTTTATATATACATATCTAACTATCGCTGGATATTTTGCTAAACATATTGCAACGCAACTTGTTCATGATGTTACATATCACATATTCGCCCCGATCCTTGCCGTCAAAGTCGCCCGTCTTGATGCCCTCCTCCATGGTGCGCAGCATTTCGTTCCACAGCGCCTTCGCGCACTGATGATGGCCCAGATGGTGCATGAGATCGACACAGGTGGACACGATGCCATACGGACTGAGCATCTTGTAGTTGGTCAGCGATAGTTTCGTTTGCAACGGCTTGAACACCGCATGATGATCCCCAATTTCGATGGACGAGAACAGATTGGAGCCACCGCAGATCGCGCTGCAGATGGTGGCCATGAATGTGCCGTAGAGATCGCTGGTCACCACCACATCGAAGTTTTGTGGCTCGAGTATGAGACGCGCTACACAGCGATCCAGTTCCATTGGCTCCGTCTCAATGTCGGGGAACTCCTTCTTCACCAACTTGGAGGCGACGTCCAGCAGGACGCCCTCGGTCTTGGGCCACTCGGACGACTTGTGCACAATGGTCACCTTTCGCCGCTTCTTCGCAATGGCCACCTTGAAGGCAAAGCGCAGAAATCTCTTAATGTCCTTTCTATTGATGACGCGCAAACCCTCGATGACGCCCTCCACCGGCGAGTACTCCAGCTCGGCATAGTTGCCCATGTTGTTCTGCGCGATCAGCTGGATATCGACGTCCGGAAAGCGACAATTGAAGCCGGGAAAGCTGCGCAAGTTGGTCATAAAGACATACAAATCCAGATCGTTGCAGATTTTCAACGATTGGCTCTTCGCCTTCGCGTCGTGCTGTATATCTACATGAATCGCAGCGCGATTGCGCAGCACCGAGTTGTAGTACTCCTGGCCCTGATTCACGAAGATGCGCTGCACATCGACCGGCACCCGGGCGCTGCTCAGCAGCGAGGTGACATACTTGGCGCCCTGTTTCCCGATTATGGTCTCGCCACAGAGCAGGGTGACATGTGTGATGCCCCCATATTTGGAACGGGGTAGAACACTGACGTCCTTCGTGCGCAGCTCGCCCTTGACCACGGCTGCCGTGGCCCCCATCACGTTCGCATCGTCGCCGTAGTTGCGCCTCCACAACAGGGAGATTCCAACTTGCTGATATTTCCTGTTCCGCAACCGACGCATTGTAGCGATACAAATTTAGTTCGAAAAATTTTGAAATGAAATAGTTATCTAAAAATTTAACCTCAGCTTACTAAGCTATGAGCTCCCTGGCTGTCAAACCCCCAAGCGAAAGTCAAAAGAAAAACAAACTTGACAGCAAATTGATCTCGAAACATTTTATTCTCCAAGTTGTTGTTGTTGTTGTTGTTGTTAGTTCAACCGACTTAGTAGGATCTTCATCGGTTATGCGACCAATCAACGCCCGTCCCTCCGCATGTCATTTATATGTCCCAGCAAACGTTCTTCTGTGCGCACGGACAACCATCGACTCCATAGTTGCCAATCAGGATTTCAGTTTGCGTTCCCTTTTCCTGTGGATTCTCATAGTTGTACACGTACTTGGTGTAGTACTTGTCCGGCAAGTAGTATATGGGTATCTCCTTGACGATCCGTAGGTGATCCTTGAGCAGCATTTCACCCATCTCTGGTGACGTGTACCTGGCCCTCAGGCTGTATTGCTTCTGCTTGACCTGCCGCAGCGTCGGCTCCAGGTGGAGATGATAATGCGGTATGAACTCATCCAGGTTCACATCCAGCTCGTCCAGCTGCTTTTGGCGTATGATATCGCATTGCTGGCAACGACATTTGCCGCCATGATAGCAATACCTCTTCTTGCCATCCGTATCGACCATCATCAGTGGAACGCATTTTCGTTGCTCGATTGGCTGAGGCTCCGTCTGAGTTGACCTCGTCGCCTGCGGTGGATCCGAATACATCATGGCGCCAAATGTGTTGTCGCAAACTGGGAGAATTCAATGATGGAATGGAGTTGTTGACAACAACGAATTTTGTTTCTAACTGAGACCAGTTGACATAAACACGACAAGCAATGAGATTTTTGGACGCACACGTTAATTTATTCGATTTTATTTGTAGACCAAAGCAGGCCACGATTATATGCCCAAGATGGTGCTAACCACTCGTGGGAAGGGCACTCTGTAGATCCATTCTCTCACATGCGAGCATAGCTGGGGAGAGCAACTATCTGCTCTCTCGAACTATACTCTGAAGGGAAGGAATGGCTACAGAGCAGCGTCCTGCTGAACAGTGGGAGTGTATTGGGAGCAACCACTTCTTTGACCTTGAAAATTATGGAAGGTCAGGCTCGTCAGCTGCCTTGTCAATCTCTCAGCTGAGAGTATGATTGGAGAGAGTAGTTTCCTTGACATGCTCTCTCGATCTATACTCTGAAGTGAAAGAATGATAGCAGCTGCACCTTCTTTGGCATGGCTTTATCACAAATTGGAGATCTCCACAGCCTCCCTCAGTTGAGAGCGTAGTTTGAGCAGCAACTTCTACGCATTGCCAACTCAATCGACACTCTCAAGTGAAGGAATGGCATTACCATCGGAGTCAACTCCTGGGTAGCGTCCTTGAGATTTCAGCTAGATTGCCCGGTTTTCATTCTGCAGCATCGTGTCTGGACCCGAACAGTACACATTTTTGCTGATGTCCTTGTGGACCTTACGAGACTTAACCAAGCCGCAGTTGGGACACGTTCGGGCGTATGTTTTATCCGCGCTTCGCTCCGACTCAATTAGTTTGGCATAGTAGCGCTTCAGCTCACGATAACGCAGTTCTCGCTCGAATCGATTTAACGCTGGACATTGCTTGATCTCGAATCGCTCGTCTTCCTCCAGAACCTCGTTAGGCTTTTCGGCTTTTGGTTTGCTTTTCTTCGCTCTCGGCCGTCTGACCTTCTTTGGCGAAGGGGCTACACTCGAGGTGGGCACTTCAAAGAAGGTCTCAGTGTACTTGAAGGCTTGTCTCACTTCGTGGCTGCCGTTGGATATCTTGCGAATGACATAGTCGTTGGGGGAGGTCAACGAGTCACAAAACGAGAGCCTATACCATTTCGGATGATAGGGCATTTGTCGCTTGCTAATTAGAACCGCAAATTGCACAAATGCACAAATTAAAATTTTGAATATTTTATCAAAGCAATATGAGACGAAATAAAGTAAAAAGAGAAAGTGAGAATGTGGAGTAAAAAATGAGCTGGTTATAATGTACGCAGATAATAGCGAAGATCCATAGGTAAGATAGATAGATATAATTCTATWTAGATAACAGTCAGATAGCGTATATATGTATTTATATCATATAATACAGACAGCATTCAAGTTCAGTTGCAAAAGGTTTGTCCAGCTAACAAGAAGCAAAAAAAAAAAAAATGTCTCTGATAGTCGAGAATGAGATCCAATGGCTGACGGAGATTATTTTGCCAAAGATTCTGCGTGATGGAAAACTTCTCGATGAGTACGACGAATCCCTGGCGGAAACATTCGAAGTGAAGAGCGTTGAAATCAATGTAATTGGCGTCGATGAGGCATATATGCTGACCATATGCTACAGAGCTACGGTAGAGCTGAAATATGCAGGGCAGCAGCTGCAGAAGAAATTGGTAGTAAAGGTAAAATAAAAGATCTTATCGTAACTTTTAGCCAAGGTAAACAATATTTTATAGCAGCTAGACTAGACAAGGAATTACATTATTAGAATCTACGTGACGATGATAACCTAAGCTATATTTACAATGATTTGCACAGAAAACGCCCAAGTTATCGACCGAGCTATACAATGTGATACAATTTGAAAGCCTGTTCAGCAATGAAGTTATCTTCTACACCGAGATACTGCCAGTCATACAGGAGCTGAGCGACGGGAAGTTCGCTGCGCCCAGATATTATTATAGCGAGATCAAAGCAGATGCTGCGCTGATTATACTGAGTGATTTTGCATCCGATGGCTGGAGTGTGACCAAAGACCTGTACGGCCTGAGTCTGGAGCATGCGTGCATAGCAGGTGAGTCTGCAAAATAATATCAATTTCATGAATATATATATTTACATTTGTAAACTTGTAGTTAAGTACCTGGGCACATTTCATGGATTTGGCTTTGCCATGAAGCAAACGCAGCCGGAGCGGTTTCAGCTGCTCACTGCGAAGCTGCGGGAAGCTCGTTACGCCAAGGATACCCTCAGCACGGAGTGGGCATTGAAGCATAAAGTCAGCCTGAGGCGAGCCGAAGGAGTCGTAGCTAAATATCAGCCACAAGTGGAGAAGGAATTCATTAGGAAATTCCAGCAGCTCGTTTACAGTTATATAGGCTATGGACGCCAGCGAGTGGCGCCTCGCGAGCCCCTCTCCACACTCTGCCACGGCGACTATCTGAGGAACAATGTGGCCTACAAGTACGACACGGACAGCAGTGGAACACCCCTGGATATCATGATGTTCGACTAYCAGACAATGCGTCTGTCCTCGCCCATGATAGATCTGTCCGTCTTCCTGGCTCTTTCTCTGCTCGCTGAAGTGCGGTATGCGAATTTTGATTCTCTCTTTGATGATTACTGCAATGCCTTGGCTGAAAGCTATAGAAAACATTCAAAGCAACAATTGCCGGAGTTCTTAAGGTATACTAGGCTAAGATCTTTGCTCGGTCCATTTTAATTGATTATTTACCTTCTTGCAGTCGTGAGAATTTACTAAGGGAATATATCCGATTCTTGCCCTATGCCATACATATAACCTCCTACTTTCTGATGTCTCTCGTTGCTCCATCTAAAACATCGCCAGCAGAAAACTTCGAGTCAGAGATCTCGGTCAAGGAAATTGTGCAGACAGCCATGCAACAAGGCGGCGAGTTGGTGGATCGTGAAATAGCTCACCAGCTTATGGAATTGTACGAACTGAGCCGCTTGCACAATGTGCAAATAGATGAGAATATTGATACATCCAAGTGGTCTGAAGAGGCTGCCAAATTTGTAAACGACCCAACTGAACTGTGCGAAATTGATTGAATTTTACAAAGTAATATAAATGCTCTTCGCAGAGCTTCCCACCACGTAGCAAATATCTTATCTTATCACTATTATTATTGTCTTAACTACTAGGGGGTATACATATACATTGTTTCTACCTCACAGCGATAAATTCGTAAACATTTCGGATGACACCAAACAAACAATGTTAGACAAACCAATCGCGCGAAGAATACATACACATATACTACATTTGCATATACACACATATATACATATATATTTGTAGTATTACACACGATCGTCGATTGTCGCTTAAAACTTGGCCACATTGCCGTCCAACAAGTAGTTGCATGTTATTCACGAAGCTGAATGGTTCTCGACGAATGCTTAGATAATGGCGTTGAGTGTTGATAAAGAGATCGACTGGCTGACCAGCACAATATTGCCAGAGATTCTGAAAAATGGACGTCTGGTTGAGAATTACAGCGAAGCACAGCTGGCGACCTTCAAGGTTGGGGATATCAAAATCACTGTAATTGGGCCCGAGGAGGCCTTCATGATGACACAATGTTATCGAGCGACAATTCAATTCGAATACGCCGGCGAGCAGTACCAGCGTAAAATGGTTGTTAAGGTGTGTTATATACTATAGATGTACATTCATACTGAATAATATATATTTAACTATAGATGCATTATATAGTATAAATCTATTATGGTTACTTTGCTTTACATTATACACTTCATATATATGCTTGACTTTGTTACATGCATCACAAACTATATTTAACTATATAAACATTATAAGCTATACTATATTAGACAATTTATAAGTGGGACAAGGGGATTGCGCAAACTAAGCTACGCTTAATTGACTCTCCCTCTCTCTATCTCCCTCTCACACACACAGAAAACGCCAGAGATTCCAGCTGAGGCTTACAACGACGCTCAATTTGAGAACTTATTTCACAACGAAATTTGTTTTTATACGGATATACTGCCCATTATACGGAAACTGAGCGATAATAAATTTACCGCGCCCACGTATTATTACGGAGAGATCAAAGCGGAGTCGGCTGTGATCATCTTGGGTGACTTTGCTTCGGATGGCTGGAGTGTGACCAAGGCTAGATATGGTTTGAGTCTGGAGCATGTGCGCATTGCAGGTGAGTTCAAAGATGAGCAGCAGTTATTCTTATTCTCTATTTTCCTCACACATTCTCAGTCAAATATCTGGGCAGATTTCATGGCTTTGGCTATGCTCTGAAGCACAATCAGCCCCAACGTTTTAAGGAGCTTTCGGGCTGCTTTAGAGAATCACGTTTTGCTAATGACACCATTAGTTCCGAGTGGGATTTAATATCAAAAGTTGGACTGCAACGTGCTGCTCAATCAACCCACACTTACCATCCCGAAGTGGACAAGGAGTTTGTCAAAAAGTTTCAACAATTGGTGTACAGCAGTGTGGGCTATGGACGCCAGCGTGTGGCGCCTCGCGAGCCCCTCKCCACACTCTGCCACGGCGACTATCTGAGGAACAATGTGGCCTACAAGTACGACACGGACAGCAGTGGAACACCCCTGGATATCATGATGTTCGACTACCAGACAATGCGTCTGTCCTCGCCCATGATAGATCTGTCCGTCTTTCTAGCCAACTCTGTGCTGGCAGATGTGCGTTATTCAAATTTCGACACTATTTTTGATGATTATTGCGAGGCGCTGTTTGAGAGCTATACGAAGCAATCTAATGAACAACTTCCACCATTCTTGAAGTAAGATGATGTAATGAAGATTATACAGATTGTAATTAATGTTTCCTTTCAGTCGCGAGACTCTGCTGCAGGAGTACATACGCTTTTTGCCATATTCTCTGGGCATTTCAGCATCATTTCTTCCGTGGCTGGTCGCACCGCCACAACTCACGAGCGCTGAAATGTTCACTCAAGAAAAGTCCGAGGTAGAAATTGTTGAAGCGTCCTTGACACAAGGTGGCGAAATTGTTGATCGTGAAATTGCCCACCAGATGAAGGAAATGTTTGAGCTGAGTCAGTTGCATAATGTTCAAATTGATGAAGATATTGATAACAGTGAATGGATTACAAGTGTTAATTTTGGAGATAACAATTCACTTAAGCTTGGTCATTGTGAATGAGCAAAAATAAATATTGCCAGATAGAATGACTTTTAGTTTTTAGAGCAAGTAATGATTAGTGGTGATAGCTAAATATGATTTTGCTCACATACATACATATGTACACATTGTTGTTTAATATACAAACAAATTCTATGCGACTGTGTATGTTGATTAACTGTAGATAGCATGACCAGCTGATTAAATTGGCATTAAAAGCCGCAAAGCCCATGTGGCAACTCCGGTTTTATGACGATAATGAAATGTGTTTTTATTTTTGGATATGCAGACGCCATTTACTACTATCAGCTGATTGCCACCGACTATGTGGCAGCACTCTTATACGTATTGTCTGGCAGCACCGTTCATTTACGTATTTAAGAACAACAGGTTCTTGCTAGAATTTAGGAAAAAATATGTTAAATCCTACCCGACAGCAAGTGCTCCGGCTTTATAAGCATCTCATCAAATACGGCAATCATTTAAAGCTAACGGATAAGAATTATTTCCTTGGTCGAGTGCGACACGAGTTCCGCGAAAATAGACAACTAACAAACACTCAAGAAATTGAATTTAATTTTAAGGTAATTAGTTATATCACAAGAAAAGGGAACTAAATTTTATTTAAAATATTTACTTAGCGTGGCGAAACATTGCTGAAAAAGGGGCGCATACTCTAGTAATGCTCAAATTGCGTTCCTTAGCTGGTTCACTCTCCACCAACCTCTGCCGGCTGGCCTCCAACGCCCACTTGGACTACTCACGTTACCCAACCCTTCAGGAGTCGGATATTGAGGAGACATTGATGCGTGGCAGCGGACCCGGTGGACAGGCCGTGAACAAAACCAACAACTGTGTCTTTTTGCGTCATCTGCCAACGGGCATCACCGTCAAATGTCATCTGCACCGCTTGGCCTCCAAGAATCGCATCGAAGCCCGTAAAATACTGCTCGAAAAACTTGATGTCCACCTAAACGGAGAAAAGTCCATTGTAGCTCAACAGAAGGCGCTCGATCAGAAAAAGTCAACGGAGCGCAAACGCCGGCAAGGAAAACTACAGGAGATGAAAAAGAACTGGCAAAATCGCGAGCGCGAGGAGAGTGAATGAATGAACCGAAGGACTTGTTAAACAATAAAATTTGTGTATTTATTCGAGCACAACTACCAGCTGGCAAAGTCGCCGAAACCATTTGCAACTTTCTTCTTTTTCGCCGGCTGTGCAGCTGTCAATTGCTCTTGAGGATCTGGTTTCTTAGGTGCACTTGGTTTCAGGTATTTCCCAACTCCTGAGCGATATACTTTCAGTGGCTCGTTCATGCGTTTTTGCTGCTCGAGCTTTGTGGCGGCCACCTGCTTACTGGCCGCCTCTTCGGCGCGTTCCTTGGCCAATTGTTCTACGGCTTCCTCGAACGGGTTGACAAATACTTGGGCATTCTCTATGATAATGTCCTCGATGGGTCGATCTTTGTTGTCCACCTCAATATTCTCCATTTTCTGCAGCGTCTCCAGTCCGCCAACAAGCTTGCCAAAGATTGTGTGTTTGCCATCGAGCTGCTTGCACGAGCGATAAGTAATAAAACTGCAAGGAATAATTTAAGTTATTTGTTTTGGTAATTTAAGTAGCTTTACTAACAACTGAGAGCCATTTGTATTGGGTCCTGAATTGGCCATAGAGAGAATGCCGCGTCCCGTGTGCGAAAGATTTGGCTTGAACTCGTCCTCAAACATTTTACCCCAAATAGATTTGCCGCCAGCTCCAGTGCCTGTTGGATCGCCGCCTTGTATCTAAGAAGAGATAAACATTATTACTATCAGTTAAATATAGATTCAAATATTACTAACTATAAAGTTCCTGATGGAACGGTGAAACAGCACATTGTTGTAGTAGCCATCTGCGCAATGCTTTATAAAATTATCGCAAGCGCGTGGCGTCTGATCGCAGTAGAGCTCCAAGTTGAGTGGCCCGAAATTTGTGTTAAGTCGCACGTAGCCCTTCTTCTTGACGCGCTCGTACTTGACCAGATCATCATCTATGATGGCTGCCTCAATCTGTGAGACGGGCACCATGGCAGTGGACGTAAAACTGGCTGCAACAGCACCCGTCGAGTAGTGAGCCGCATTGAATTTGTCTGCTGTGCGCTTCGAGCTGGTAGGTGCCTCTTCTGCTGGCTGGTAATCCTTTTGCAGCTGTGCGAGGGTTTCTTTTGTTTCCATATTCATTGTCTTTATGCGTCCCTGGGGATCTTTGCGTTCCAGCTGCTCTTCCGCCGATAGAACACGCAGGTTTTTCTTGATGTGATAGAACTTAGATATGTCGAACTTTTCTAAATGTTGCGGATCTTGTATGGTTATAATATCCTTGCGCTGGAATGGCGTGTCATCAATCAAATCCTTCCAGTTCTTGGTCTTGATGTTAAGCTGGTCAATTGCCTCCCAGCAGTAAACGTTTCCCGTTGTACCCACAGCCACAATGTGTGAGTTTTTGCTGAACGGCTTGAAGAGAGCTGGACAATGGTATTCATCATTGGCATTCTTATAAAAGTTGAGCTTCAGCAAAGACTTAGAATCCATTTTTTGACCAGTAATGGGATTAACTTTGAATGCCTTCAAGAATGTTAGTATGGCCTCATATTCAAAGACATTGCCATTAGGATCGCAGTATGGCGTTTCAAATGGTGCCATGGTTATACAGCAATTGCCAAATGGCAAACGTTTAAATTTAATATGCTCATTTTCCAAAGATTCCACCTTTTTGCCACCATAGAACTCGCTCCACTCGGTGTACGTTAGGTACCTGCCAAAAAGCGTTATCAGTTACTCCGTAATTTGAAATTGAGCGTTAAATCTTACATTTTATCCTTTTGATGCTGTCGTTTACCCATCTTGGAGGCTTTTTATGCAATTACAAGTTCCAGGTAAACAAAAACAATCTTCGCAATTTTATTAGATATTCCACCCAAACGATAAGCTATTTGTTATGTGGAGGTCTATCGATAGACACCGATAGCAACTGTATTTAGCAGCTGTTCATAGCTGCGGTCACATTGCCAACCCAAGCTAAAGCCGCGTCAAATTTGTTATTGTTGATATTTATTTAATTGATCATAAAAGATGTCGCAGCCTATTAAGAAATCTGTGTCTGAACCGAATATTGAGGAAGCTTTCCAAAGGCACAGTCCAATCGCTGTCAAAGTGAAGGGAGAATATGAAAAAGCATTAATTGACTTGTTTGCAGATATGGGGTAAGTCTTTCGTTGGCTTTGAATTATATGTTATTGATATATTTATATTGCAATTGTAGGCCCATTTGCCTGGAGCCCTTTGCAGCGATTCTATTGGAACACGAGAACACAATTCTCAACAAGGACACTTTGATTGAGCGTGTGCGCATGCGCATGAGCCAGCTGCTGCCCAAAATCAATGAAAATTTCTTTATTTCCAATGATGTGGGCAAAAAATTAATAACCCTCGAGGTGCTCAAAGAGAAATTTGAACCCTATAAAGGCACAAACTGGTAAGAAGGTTTTTGATACGCATATACCAAATGGAACTTTGAAAATATAAATATTTCAGGCAAGTGCATAAGCTGACACCTGAGGAAAGGACAAGACCTGTGCGCATGCGTCTTATGGATTCCAGCATTAGATTTATACAAAAGCAGATAAACGCACAGGAAAAAGCTATAGAGGTAAGCATGCATTTATCATTGTTTTTTGTTTTTTTTTTTTTTCTTATATTTGATTATGATTTCCATCTATCGTCCTAGATTGCCTTGGCAAAGAGTAAAGAAAACCGGGAACGCATTCAAAACATTCAAAATGAACGCGTTAAGCTTTACGCCCTGATGCAACAACAAATGGGTTACTACGAGGAAATGGAGCCAAAACTAATGGATCTAATAAAAATAATGATAGGAAATGTGGATTAGCTTAAAATTACCAAATTGTATATACTCCAAATTATAAATAAATTAAAAGCACTTCATTGTGAATACCCGACATTGATCGAATATTCGATTAACATTAGCTCCTTGCAGTGCTGTAATCTGTGAGGAGTAGTTTTTCGGCAGACAATTTTAGTGGTAATGTTGAGCAGCATAGAATTATATTATATTAAAAGTGGATTCTAGTTGTATCAATTAAATAACATTATTTTGTATCATTTACATATGTATAAATAAAATATAATATAAATAGTTTTCGATTAATACATATACATTTTTGAATTTTAACGAGTGTTTTAGTATACAACACCAAGCTATCAAAAATTAAATTAATCGTCAGATCTATAATCGCCTCTCTGAGCTTAACAGCAGGATAACAGAGATATGTAGTAGCCATAATTCGCTGGTAATTTTTGAGCAGCTTTTCATTATAATTTATTCAGCCTTTCAGTTAACATCGTTCTGCTTTCAAGTTTAAAATTTATGAATTTTTTTTTAGGATATTTTTTAAAATCAGAAGTTAAACGTTTGAGGGATTTTCAATTGTGTATTTTCTTTCAAATGCTTCGAGTGAAACTTTTAGCCAAGCTTTTTTTTCATTCGTTTTCCGGCTGTGAATTGTGTCAATTCTTTTTATTTTACAAGTATTGCACTTTTCACGGCCGGAAAAAGGATAAATTATTTAACACGTCTTAATTCGCAGATATTATAATGTCTACTCTGCAATTTAAGCTTCTTTGCTATTATATTCTCAAGTAAGTTTCAAAAGAAAAAACGAAAAATGTCCAATTTTCAGCTGCGTTTGCAGGACGGTATTTGTGACAATATGAATTATTGAAATCAATTTATTCAGCATATTGCACATCTCCCGGCCTATAAAAGAGTTGTGAGCCCGTCGATTTAAAAGATTTGTGTATTTAAACTAAATTTTCACCATAAATATCGTTCAATGTATCCATTTTTAGGCCGTGCTATGTGACAATATGTATTTAAATTGTATTTATCATATTGCACATCTCCCGGCCTACAAGTGTAAATGCACAATTCAACTACATAATTCATAATTCTATGGCATGTCTGTATGTAAATAGAAATTGTACCGCGGCGTTTTTGTGCACGAATATGTATGCATAAAAGTAGAGTCCCGTTAGGAGAGTGATCCGCTTTAGGCGCGATGAGTGTGAGCGAGACGAAAAGAATGGCGCCGTGCAAAATCTGTTTTCTTAGAAATAATCTGACGTTAACTTTGTGCCGTCGAACTTTTTCAGATTCTGCTTTAGCCTTGTTTTCGCTCGCACTTTTTAACATTTTCTTCTCGAGCTGTGTATATCTGTGCATTTGTGTATGGATAATAGAATAGTGGCAGACGCAACCTATGCAAAAGAATATGGCAATAATACAAATGTACAAATGTATATAAGATATAATTGTTTTGTATATTTAATATTTAGAACTGCAAGCAATATGTGCTCAAGATTGGATTTTCTGCCTTAAATGTGGTTTTATCGCAAAATTGTTCAATTTGAAACTAACGTCGGTTTTCAACTAGCGCCACCTGGTGTAATATTCAGAAACTTAATCGTGCGCGTGTATAACAAGCGGTTAGCCCAGACAACAACCTACCGTAGTACAGATAGTAAAACATAAGCTAAGTATTTTTTTTTCTAGTTTATGCTATTAGAATATTTGTACATTTGTGGTTAGCAGGGACAGTAACCATTATCTACATAGCGAACAGCGTACTGTAAACTTGACAGAGTAAACAAATTTGAATATAGCGCGCTAAAGAAATAATTATTAATCAAGATGTGAATATGAAGCTAGAAACAAAACTATTTTTTAATGTTTTTAAATGAGTATCAAATGGATTATATTAAATTTCTAGTGTTAGATTAGTTCACAGACTGGAAATATTTTGATTTTGTTTAAGGGATTTGCGGCTTTGACTGATTGTAAATCCCCGGCTTTAATTGAAACTTAATATTAATTTACGACTTTAGGAATGGTGTTAAATCAATTGTTGTTTTATAGACATTTGCTTGGTATTCACTTAAATGTAAGAAGCAAATTTAATTAGCGCGCATCGTTGGCTGCATTTGTTTTCACGTCATTTACCGTTGCCCATTAGCCCGCCTACTGGGAGGCAGGTAGGGGGGCACTGCAAGTGGTCAGCTGGACTAATGATAGGCGCAGAGCTTTTGGCACATCAGCTGCTTTACTGCCCATTCATTGGAAAACTAACAAGAGCAGAATGCAGCTGTGTGTGAGTGGGGGAGGGAGGGAGAGTGTTTGTGTGTGCGCATTGCCCAGCAATAAAAGCTGTGCATTTTGGATGGAAGAGCACGCGCGGCCAACAAGTGTGAAATTGAGTGCATATAACGTGGCATAATGGCGCTCTATAGACCCGATCCAAATGACCACCAAAAGAACGGTTCTGGCTGCTTAAAGAAGCGGAAGTAGATGCTCAACATGCAGTACAGTGAACTCCAGCTTTAAGTACTTACCAGGGTCTGCTATCACAACACATCATAGATAAGCGCAGCTGAGAACAGCGACAATAATTAAATGTTTGCTTTAACTACATATAACAATAACAAAGGCCATATTATGTAATTGCTTGGAAAAAAAAATGGAAAAATGAAATAACAAACAAAACTTTGCTCTCCCACAATTTCTCATTTTCTCATTGGCAGCCGGCTGATTTTTATCAGCAAAAAGTTGAGCGAGTGTGTACGTGTGTGTGTGAGTTGTACTGAGAGCGATCCTGCCAGCATGGCTGCCGCAAGCTTCCACTCAAGCGCTCTCTCAGTTGCGCTCTAAAGTAAGCGAAGCAAAAGCTCGGCTTTGACTAATTGAATTGTTATTGTCTGTGGCACAGCTAAATTATGCACATAAACACATCTAGTTACTATTATTCACTTGTATATTATACTTAATTATTGTTATGAGCGCATTAAAACTCTTGGAGCGCCCCGCGCAGCAGCTTAAAAACTTAACTGGCGCTGCACCGTGTAGCCCCACGGGCCACAGTGGCTCAGCGAAGCGAGCGAAAAAACAACAACGGCAGACGTCACGCGCAAGCGTCGCTGCCGCTGTCCGTGTCGGCGTCGACGCTGAGCTCAGCTCAACTGATGCTCGGCTGGCTGTGAGTATTTAGTTACCTCGCGACCATCGTGCGGCCTGGACGTATTTTCGCCGTGTGAAGTAAGACGCGCTGACGTACTGTGTTCACGTTTCTCTGTTTTCGTCTCACTGTATGAATGTAACTCTGTGTGACTGTGTGTGTGTGTGTACGTGCGTGTCTGTGTGTTTTTTGTGTGTTTATTTGCCGTTGATTTGCTGAGTTTTCGACGTTTACCACTAGCCGTTGGCCAGCAGCAGCCTCGGCCGCTACTTGGACTGGCATTCTCTTTAGCACCACGGCTTTGTTTCATAATCTATGTATGCGTATGTGTGTATGAGTGTGTGTGTGCATGAGTTTGACTGACTGTTAAGGAATACAAATGATATGTGCGGTTGGCTCTTGTGGAGCATGTGCCGTTGTTTTCCTCTGCCCTGTTCTTTTGTGCAATCTAATATATAATAACGCCGTTTGTCTTTCCGTTTCGACCAATTAGAGACGAAATTAAAAATATATATAAATTATATTTCGGCGGTGGCGAAAATGCTTGCAACTCAACAACTTTGGCATGCCTTATGCCTGGCAGCTTTCGTATATTGTGGATTAGCGCATGCGAAGGGTAAGTAAAATAATCAAAACCAAAAAAATAAATTTTTGTATACTTGCAAAATAAACAAGCTTTTTTGTTCATACATACAACTGCAATTGAGCTTTGACTCATACAAACACACACATACACATGCGCATGATGTCATTTTGTGGGCAATGAAATACGAAAATGGTTATTTCGCCGCAAAACTGACCTCGTTTTCGCTTGAACTGCGCTCGCTCGATCTTCAATAGAAGTGGGTGCATGCTTGTGGGTGAGTGTGAGTGTTAGCGCTTAACGGTTTATCAGGGCAGCTTT